ATCTGGTGGATTCAAACAATGCACTTTGGGGATGTCAGTGCAACTTCTTGCCACTATGTCACCAGAGCTCCCTTAGAAAGAAAGACTCCTAATGAAATTGACATAGTAACTGCAACAATGGGTTCAAGCATACCAGAGATGGTGAGGACAGCCAGGATAGAGCTGGGCTCAGATCTGTCGTTCATGGGTCACTACGAGTTGTAGTGTACCTGAGGATGGCGCAAGCAAAGCAGAAGAGGCCTCTGAATGGAGGGGCTGGGCTAGAAAAACAGGCATGAAAAGCACATGGAGGCCAACAGGGCCCTGTTGGGTCCTTGGGTACCACCCCTACAGCGATGCAATGCGCAAGACCATGCACCATGTCTGTTGGGGAGAACAGGGGTCCCATAGGTCTGCCAGGCACAAACCTGATCAAACTAGAAAGGTCACTGCAGGGTTTGACCAAGAGCATGCCTCAGATAAGCAAGGGACTATCATTTACAAGCCTTGCACCCAAGAAGGTGCTTCCAGTCCACCATGTCAGTCTAGTGCAGAGGGTACAGCCACCTCCCTCATCTACTGACATTCACAGAAACTCTCAGAGTGTTTGGCTCTTGGAGGACAACTCAGAAAGCCACATCCAACAAGAGGTTCCTGCCCTACAGGCCCATGGTCCATATGCCTTCTGACTCAGAGCAGAGAGACAGTGGGGTCAGACTTTGCCTTCACTGGGCCTTGCTTTTGTCATGTGTACATTAGGCATCCAGTGGTGTTTGGATGTAAGATATTGGTAAGAGTGGCTGGCACTGGCAGGAGATCAGGGTGAGCACAGCCTGCAGGAAGCAGGGCTGGTCTGAGTCCTCTGCTCAGAAAGGTGCCTATGTCCAGCAGGCACTCAGTAAGTGCTGCTGGGATGTTACCCAGCAGCCTCGCAGCCTCCCAGCCTCCCAGTGGTGAGGCTGTCTTCACAGGGGCTGCTGCCCCTTTCTGTCCTTCAAGCTGGGAGTCTTAAGACAAAGCCCTCCCATGTTCTTCCCTCCCTTTCTAGATTCCTCAAACATTTTCTGTGGCCAGTCACTGAGGATTTACGGGGGCCTTGGCCCTTGAAGTGGGTGCCCACCCCACAGAGGGCCAGGAGTCCAGCCCAGGATCATCAGGGCATGTCCCATCTTGAGGGCACAAGAGCAGCTTTAGAACCTGTTCTAGAACTCATACCTGCTTCTAAGCCACAATCCTCTCACCGTCCATGGGTTGGATTTCTCCCTTCTTGCCCTCATTCCCGGTCAGTCCCTGCCCCAGCTTCAGAAGCATCCAGGACCTTGGCTGTTGCTTTGGACTAGGTCTCACCTGCCCCCTGTCACCCACTGCCCTTCTGGAACAAGAGAGGGCTCAGCTGTACCTTTGTTCACCCCCGGCTGAGCTGGACCTCCATGCCCCACCCAAGGGTCCCTGGCCCCCATGAAGGGCAACAGCACATACAGAACAGCGAGACTTCATGGAGTAGGAATGCTCCAGACAAGGGTTACCTGCTCTCCTCCAAGAAGACCGGCTGTGGAGAATTCTCCAGGTCTCCCTGGTCAATTCTACATCTGAGTGGATGCAGCACAACCCCAAGCTGTCCTCCAATCTTTGGGGCAAACACCACAGCACAGTGGAGCCATCTGCTTGGCTGTGAATGCCACAGAGCAGAACCAGCATCCACAGCCACACCTGGGACCGGTGTGAATCAGGCCAGCTCCCAAACATGCCCATGCACCTCCAATGCGCCCTCAACCTTTCCTGTCCCCTCCTTTATGTGGGGATGACGGCCTGGCCCCACCAGTCCTACAGGCCATCCCTAGTTCTTGCTTGAGGGGAAAGGCAGGGTCCACCGGCCACCACTTGGACAAGCTCAGCAGCATAAAACACAGGGGTCCTCCCTTCCTGCCTCAAGGGATCATGGTCAGCACACAGTGGTCGCCTCTTACTGCAGGTGGCCTTCAAGATTGTCTCCATGGCTGAGTCGCCAGAGAAGTTCCCCCAAAAGTTCCTGCCCCGTGAGATCATCTTCCTCAATGCCACTTAGAAGCACCTAAACATAGTAGGCAGACCCCACCTCCCCAACCTGCAGCCTACCTGGGACCACACTTGTTCCCTTAGGCTGGGCTGACCCTGTCAGGAGGTCATGGTCCGGCAGGTGCAACTATTCGAGGCCTGTCAGAGCCACCAGGGTTCCTACTTGGTGCTGGAACTGGCCACACACATCAATGTTGCCTCAGACTTTGGCTCTCACCTGGAACTGGACGAGGACAGGGACTCAATCTGCCACAGCACACTGCCAGAGCGGGGGATGGGAGGGACACACACTGCCCAGAGCGCATGCACACTGCCATGGGGGTAGGGACGCACACTGCCACCGTGGGGGAACACACTGTGGGGTGGAGTAACTGCCACAGCGCGGATGCACACTGCTGGGGTGACACACACACGCTGTCACAGTGCAGAGGCACACTAGGGGGAACACACGCACACTGCCATGACGCGGATACACACTGCTGGGGTGACACACACACGCTGTCACAGTGCAGAGGCACACTAGGGGGAACACACGCACACTGCCATGACGCGGATACACACTGCTGGGGTGGGGGTGGGACGCATGCTGCCACAATGGGACACACTGCCATGGGGGGGGCACATTGCTGGGGTGGGAGTGTGTGGGGGGGTGACACATGCTGCCCCAGCAGAGATGCATAAGGGAGGAAGCACGCTGCCACAATGTGGACGTCCTGAAGCCACGCTGGCCATCCTACCTGCTCATTCAAGTGGAAAGACCACAACACACCAGTGTCTCTCTCCCTGAGGGTCCTAAAGCCCTGCCTCTATGCCACCCTAAAATCCCTCCCCAGCGCCTTCCACAAAGGGCCCTAAAGTCCCACCTGCACTCACAGAGGGACCTTACGTGTGACAACATCTTACTGGAAGGCCAAGTCCTTCTAAAGCTGACAGCTGAGCGGGTACCCTCTGCCTCTTCTGCAGGAAGCCTGGACCTTTTCACGCCACCAACTCCTAGCTCAATGTGGCCAGGTCCCCATCTTCAACCCTAAATAGACCTAGTGTTCACCTCCAGTCTAACTGTCCTCATCAGTCCAACCCACTGCTGTGTGGAGCATTTCATGCCAGCCAGCAACCTTCTTGCTGTCACCCCACATCTCCATCCCCATACCTATCAGCCCCATCTTTCTGGACTACTCCCCCTCTCTCCCCTGCTCCCAGACTTGAGCTTTGCCAGCCGCTCTGGCCTCAGGGAACACTACTCGACGGCCTATTCAGCCCAAGATCCTCACGAGTAAATACATCAGGGAACAGGCTGACCTATGGAGCCTGTGAGTATGGCCGCAGGGCACACGCCACCACCACCATTGCCAGGGAGGGAGAGGGGTGCCCCCTGAGGAGCCTGTGCCCACCAGAAGCATCCTCCACGCCATGATGTCTGGGAAGCTACCCTTGAAGGAGTTCCAGTCACACCTAAAGACAGGATGACCCTGTCTTCCAACCTGGCTTGTCCGAAGGTGAGAAGCCAGCTGCTCCCCAACCCTGACCTGTTGTAGGAGCAGCAAGGGGGTGGGCTTGAATGTTCAGCCCCCTAAACTCAACGTCAAACTCCACTGTTAGTTGCCCATCTTTCTGCCTGGTATCCCCACTGGGACTAGAAGACAACCCATAGACCACCTCAAAACTGCTGGAGGCAACAGGTGCACATGGATGTAGTGGCTGGGCACACCCATACCCTTGCCCACATATGGCCAAGACTTGATCAGTGGCCTGCTTCAGCTGTGCCAGCCTCATGCCTGGACCTGCAGCAGGGGACTACACACTGCTGGATGCTGCCCAACACTCATGTGCTCTTCTAGAATCTGCAGGGTGCTCCATCAGGTGCAAGGACCAGGAGAGTGAATGGGCACCCTGCAAGACCTACTGTGGAGAAGTCTACTGTAGAGAAGTCCACAGAATTGCCAATTCCTGGTCGCCAGGGGTAAGGAGTCCCCGGATCGATCCTGTAGCTGCAGCACCTCCAGTCTGAGTGCTACACACACACTAGCATCCAGCCAGGCATCTGCCTCTGAGGTGTCCGGGGCAACAATGCCCAAGAGCGGCAGTCTCTACCAGACTGGAGTTTCATAGTTCCGATAGTGTCTCCAGACAGCTACTGTCCTTATACTGTCTGCCATTCCCAGAGGACAGAAGCACCAGTAGTTGAGAAACAAAATAAAGCTTTTATTCTACGAGAGTCCAAGTTTGGGGCCCCAAGGAATCTTCTTCTGTCTCACGGAACCCCGATGAGCCAAGAGCACAGAGCTTCAACAGGGCCACTGCACTGAGGGGGCTGCCAGGTACTAGTGTCTCATTCAGCTAAGTCTTAAACATTCAGAAGGCCCATTCCTGGAAAACCAAATACGAGCAAAAACAAAACTATAGACTGGCACTATGGTATGGGAGTGGCATGCATGTGGGCCTGGCAGTGAGACCCAGAAGGCAGCAGTGTGGTGGTCACAAAAGAAAAGAGCAGCAGCAGGGCTGGGCCAACAGAGAGCTGGAGCCAGTACGGATGGCGCACAGCTGGGATCAGAATCCAGGCAGGGCTGGAAAGTCTACCTGGAAGCTGAGTGTCAAACAAGCAGGGCTGGAGAAGGCCCAGGATGGACGTGGGGCCAGGCTGACAGCAGGATGGGGAATGGCTGTGCCCTGGCCCTTTGCACTCTGAAGGTGCCCCTGTTCCCTCAGGGTTTACACTATTTTTCTGTCCAAGAGCTCCACTGGTTGCCCCCTGCTACCTTCATCCCATGAGTAGTAGGCAGCTGAATCCCAACTCCTCCTCTGGTTGTTTTCACAGGCCACAAGACAGCGCTTACTGCCACTGGCCCTGGAGCGGAAAGGTCTGAGCAGAGGACCTGAGTCTAAAGGTAGTCTGTCTCTTACAGGACAATCACCAGGCCAGCGGTCCCAAGGCTCGTAGGAAAGTGATAGTGGTCCTGCAGGGCTCAGAGGGGCGCAGGTTCCTCCTCACGCTGCTGTGGCCCCTGCCGTTCCTGCTCGCAGCACTCCTGCTCCTGGAGGTCCAGCTTCTGCAGCTGCCTCTCCACATCCTCAGGCACCTGTACCTCCAGTAGGTTCTCCATGCCTTCCTCCGGCTCATCTCCAATGAGTACCTGTGGCGGATGAGACAGGTGAGCAGCTGGCCAGTGTGGGCACAGCACCTCCCTCCAGGACAGCACCCACCTGGATGAGCTTCTCACAGGTCACCCTGACAGCAGGCTCAGGCTCCCAGCTATGTAGCTCTCGAAGGATCAGGTAGGCTCCCTGGTCCCTGACCTGCTGCCGACCTGGTGCTGTGGCTGTCAGCTAGGAAGGGGTAGAGGTGGCTCAGAGATCAGAGCTTGCTTTGTGTGTGTGTGTTTTGACATATTTACAGGACGTGTGTGTGTTTGTGTGTGTGTGTGTGTTTTGACATATTTACAGCAGGACCTCAGCTCACCAGCATTATGGCCTCAAGGAGCATCTTGCGGATGTCCGCGTCTGGCTCCCTCTGTTTGTCCGGAGACAAGTACTGAAGGTCCGCAGGCAGCCCTAGGGGCAAGTGTGAAAGGCACTGGGTTCCAGGCTGGAAGGACGAGGAACCCAAGTCTGGTCACCCCACTCCTTAGGCTTTATCAAACTACTCACGCTCCATCTCCTCTTCTGAAAATTCCTCCGGCCCCGCCAGGGGCAGCAGCAAGAATGGGAGAATGTCCACCTTAGGACCTAGCAACCACTCGTGGTGTCCTAAGTGGAAAGAAGGGAGGGGTGGCTTTGAGATTGAAGGAGTCCAATCCCCACCCCCGGCAACGCCCCCAGCACCACTCACGGTGCTCGAAGCAGCAGTTCCGTAGCGTCCCCACCACTCCGCCCCGGCGCACGGAGTCGGGAAACTGGGTAAGAGGCAGGAGCCGCTGGATCACGCACCTGTAGAGAGGAGAAGATCAGTGCCGGCGGACGCACTTCCGACCCCCCCAAAGGGCTGCCTCAAGTTTTACCTGTCGGGGTCCAGCAGGAAGGCTCTCACTGTTGGCCGTTGGGTGAGGTTGGAGAGCAGTGGCCCCAGGTAATGGAGCGGTGCATGAGCATTGTAGGACGGTGTGCACAGCGCGTGCACCAGGCGCTCCAAAATCGGCTCCGCGGCCTCTAGCGCCGTCTTCACAGCGGCACATGGAACAGGCTCGCGGCTGAGGTTGGCAAGGGCAGCGGCCGCCTCTTCGGCCCAGGGCCACTGTGGGTCCAACGCGCAGCCCAGCAAGCGGGCAGGCAATGCGGGATAAGCCGCCAGCAGCGGCTCATGTAGGCCTGGGTCGGCAGCCAGGTTCACCAGTGCGCGGGCGGCCTCGCAGGCCGGGGCCGGGGCCGGAGCCACTGCCAGTTCAGCCACCGCCCGCAGCAGCGCCTCCTGCCCCGCTAGCAGCGCTCGGCCCGCCTCGGAGCCGGTCAGTCCCAGTATGTGCTCGGTCGCCGCTGCCTGCAAGTCGGCCCGAACCCCCGACGCCAAGAAAGGCAGCAGTTCGGCCGCCTCCACCTCGGCGCTGTCCTGCGCTCCCCGCAGCCCGCCAGTGCCCGCCAGCGCCGTTTCCATGGCGCCGACCCTGGATCACCCGGCCGTGAGCGCCACCGCCGCCGCTCCCGGGCGGCCGCCACGTGGCCCACGACCCCGCCCACCAAGGAAGCGAGTCCCTCAGCGACCAATCCAAGGCGGAGAGGTGTGCGCACGGGGCGGGGCCGGCGGGGCAGGGCCCGGGGCATTGTGGGACGCTTGGCCTGGAGGAAGCCCTGGACCGGGGATCGCGGCTCTGTTGATCTCTGGTTTTCCTGGTCTAGCTTGTGAAGCGCTGTTGGGCGTCTACCCCCCAGCTCCCGCCCAGGCCTGCCATAGGGAGGCATGGCACATCCAATCCGTGGATGTGGCCTGAGGGTCCTCCTGGAAAGAACGGCTTTCCCTGTCTTCTAGGCTGCTGCAGTTACCGGGGAAGGTAGAGTGTGAAGCAGCAGCCTCGGGCATCTAGGAACAGGTGGTTTGGGTGATTGTCAGGACTTCTTGAGTTGCAAGAAGTTAACCATTAATGCCTCGCATAACCGTCATCTGGAGGACATCTGACTTCGGGAATTGCTGGATCCAGGAGCTCTCTCAAGATCTGAGCTCTCTACATTATAGCTTTCTCCCCTTCTCGGCCCTGCTGCTCTGTGGTTCTGTGTCACTTTCGCGGGGTGCCAGTGGATTTTCTCACCTAGCTGGGAGATAAGTTTACTGGAACCTCACATTCCAGCAGAAGATAGTTTCTGCTTCCCAACATTAGGAGATCTGTCCCAGAACAGATTCCACTCAGTTCTTTCAGCTCCCCACTGGGTCAGTCAGTCACAGTGGTTGGAGCAGCTACCCTCAGGAGAGAAGAAAGGAAGAGTCACCTTCCATTTTCCGTGTGCTTGACTGGTTTCTCAGGACACAAAGGACAAGACAGCAGGGTCTCCGAGCCTTCCGTGGGCATATCACGGTCTTTCCAGCCTATGGGCCTTTGCATGGGCCTTTGTGGTCCCATCTGCCTTCCTTCAGTGTACACAGGGCTGGAGACTTATGTCAGAGAGAGCTTCCTGGGCAATTGGTCTAAAATGGAGATAAGCCCCTCCCTCACCATGACAACTCAGTTGTGTCCTCCTTCAAGCGGTCCCAGCTCTTTGAAAGAATTGTCTTTGTGACCAAATTGACAACAGCAATTCCAATATGTGAAAAGCTTGGGAAAGGGACACTCAGTGTGTGTCAGTGATGATGAAATAGTTTGGAAAATGTTGTCAAGAATGGTGGTACAGCCTATGGTACATGATCAATGTCACTGAGTTGTACACATAGAAACTGCTAAAATGTCTTCTATTTTTTTAATATCTCTGGAGACTAAAGTGCATCTGATACAGGCCATGGTCTTTGCAATCACTTGTTATGCATCAGAGAGTTGGACAATGACTAGGGAGGATAAAAGGAGAGTTGATGCCTTTGAGCTGTGGTGCTGGAGAAGAGTATTGAATGTACCATGGACTGCC